ATCTTTAAATACCTTTTTGCACTATCTCTTCGGCTAAGACTAACACTGTCTCAACTTGCTTGACCCGGCCACATCCCTCTTTATCCTATTGACTTGAGCGTCAAAGTGCCTACCCAAGGAATAACTCCCCGGCTCTCTAACCCTTCTCCTGGTTGCAGATCTCAATATGTAACTTCATCCTTTTACATCGACTTCATCGAATTGGCAAGACTATATAATCATGTCTTTAGTATAAAACACCTCGGATGAAATAGCATCAGGTTGTTTTATTGTTACTCCAACTTCTAACTCCTCTAAAGCAACGGTTGGCTAGTCCTGGCCTAAAAATCACATGCAATGACTTTTTCTCAAATGCCATTGACTGAAGTGCTCATGGGGCAACCCTAAACGTGGTTTTGAAGTGCGTGACAAAAGGAGATTTGCCATCAAGTTTATAAAATGAAATTATGTCTTCCTTATGTCCTAAGATTTTAGGGGTATAGGACACATCTAGAGTGTTAATTAATATGAAATAGCACTCCGAAGAATGCATAACTAGTGATACATTTTCTATTAGGGTTATAGGACAATAGGAAAAATGATAAGAGTTTTGGAAACAAGGATGATATTGGAATTGCACTCTGCCTTTGATACAGAAGTTAATCTCATTATTTATAGACATGGAGGGGAATAAGATTACGTGTATGTTTGGTTTCATGGGAGTTTCATAAGAGGCATTTTTTTAGATAAATGTTTATCTGAAAAACATTACTTTAAACATTTTTTGTTTTTTCTATTTGGTTGAATGTTTTACGGGCATTTCAAATACTACTCCATAAAGTTGATTTTCTTCTTAGAAATGCTCAAGCATTGGGGAAAATATGAATTTGACGCATCCCCAAATACCCTATGCACATAAATCGAAATATTTCAGTTTACTAGTATTTATTTGATTAACTGTGAAACCAAACAATAGTTTCATATACAATAAACATCAACACCTATGGGGAGCTGATGTAATGGCATTTTTTTGATAAATGCCTACAGAACCAAACATATAGTACGTGTTTAAGACCAAATTTTTAAAATATTCTTTGATTAGCATGGTGCTGGGAGGCAAATTCTGTTTATCCTTTCACGACACATGTCCCTCTAGATCACAAAGCGGTTGGAACATCATTCTTGGGCGTTCTCAAGAAGTGACATGTGTTAATACGATCCTCAAGTACAGTATCTCTACAAGGTAGGCATAGCTCAACGAGACATGCCATCTTACTTAAGCAAGGTGATTTCTCATGAGGCCCAATTTAGGCTCAATTTGGAAAGAGTACAAATGCAAATATGTATAAAATAAATATATACAAAATAATACAAAATATAAGGTTTTGCACTCTATATATTTGCATTTATACTCCTTCCAAACACAGCTTTATCGTTTGGTGAGAACTATTGCGAGGCAGATCATCATAATCTAGCAAGGTGACTCATGAGTTTGATCCAATGTTGCCTTGCGAGGTGATTTACAAGTACCGTCTCGTATTGCCTTACAAGGGTAATTAATGATAAAAATAAAAAAAAGCTAGAATTCTTTCAAGACCTGCCATAAGTGTACGTAGATGTTTATTAGGTATACCAAATGGGCACAATATAATGCCAATGCCCATCTTAATTTTGGTTTAAATTAAAATCTAAATTGTATTATATAATGTTAATTTATATTGTATTCTTTACTTTTATGTGCCTTATACTAGTTTATAATACAATAATTGTATATCCAAGGTACATTGATTTTTTTCTAAATCGGCTTTTATTTGTGAATGCAATATATTTGATAGGGGTGATTAACAAGTTGAATCAAATGGCAAAGGCTTTGGGAGAATTTTTTAAGACCCAAAGATCAAATTTATCCATCAAATAACCCAGTGTTACATCTTCTATAAAATAGAGTTTTCAATAAAAGAAAAAGAGGAATAAAGATAAAAGCTCAATTTGAAAAAAGTCCAAATATAAATATATAGAATGCAAAACCTTATATTTTATATTATTTTATATATATTTATACTATACATATTTATATTCGTATTCTTTTCATCTTTGAGAGAACCAGCTCAATAGCCATAAGCAAACCGCATGAGTTTCCAATTCCGCTGGAGTGCTCCCAAGATACAAAACCATTTACATTATTCTTTCTAACTATGCGAAGAAATGCAATCCTTCTATGCTAGTTAAGGAAGCTATGGCCAAAAGGATCACTATGATACTGCCCTGTAGATATGACATAATAATCAAAACCAAAAGTGTGAGCTTGTTTATCCCTAGAGGATTGAGAATCAGGTTTCAATGCCTCCTCAATCTAACTCCAATTAATCGATTAAATTAAGTTGGAATCTGACTATAAAATTAAAGATTTTAAATAACATTAATATGCCTTTGATTTGTATTACAAGTAAATAATTGAATTTTCATCATCATTATTTTTCTAAAGCTTATTTGAGAATAAACATGAGCAACCACCGAATTCTCAAATTAGAGCAAACACCTCTTATGCATGTAACTTTACCTTTAAAGATACCCATAGAAGTTAACGCTTACAAGCATGTAGCATGTGGGTAGTACATGTGGGCGTCATTTCATGTTGAATCCACAAGGCAATAGCCAATTCCAAATCTTTATTTATGAATCTTCAGACCTACTTTAGCCCATGGATCGAGATTAATCTCCAAAAAGTTTTATCCTTTTTTCCGGAACTCTTGACTTATAAAAGCATACACTAAATCAAGCTTCCAGCTTTTAAAAAAGTAGATAGTTGGTTTTTTCTTACCTTCTTTCCCAAGTTTCCAACCATATTCCCAGTTGAAGTTCTTTTGAAGTGAATTACATTAAGAGTAGACCTTGCAATTGGGTTGGGTGGGTCAGGTCCGATTGGGTTAAGGTATTTCGGGTCGGGTTAAATTTCGGGTTTAGTTGTCAAATGCTATATCCTAATCTTAAATGTTCATGTTAGGGTTGACCCATGAATTAATTTAGTTCATCCCAAAAAATAATTGAAATTTAAAAAAAAAAAAAAAACTACATGAAAAATGTCAAAATCAAAAGAGTTAACCTTAAAATTCTAAATATAAAATAAAATACTTAATCATTTAACAATTTAAAGAATAAACAATAAAAAGTAAAGACTAAATAAAAAAATTAAAGAGTGAAAATTTATAACAATACATAAATAATCCAAATTAGACTTGATAATTGAGTCAGCGAATTGACCCATGACCCAACCCAGTTTCTTTTGATCTGGATTGGGTCGGATCATTTTTTCGGGTTGGATTGGATCAGATTCGCCAATTGGATCAACTTTTTGCGAGGACTGATTAAGAGTGCATTTGATTAATAGCAGAGTTAGAACTAGCACCCGGAATGTAGAGACCAATTCCCTGAATCATTTGGCTCCATTAAATTGGAATAATCCTTCTATCCAATTTGGATCTAACCTTAGACTAATGGTTTTGAAAAAGAAAAAAGAAAAACTTTGGGTTAATCTGTTTTGAAGGGCAAATCAGTAGTAGGTTGCTTCCATAATGCCCTCTAAAAGCAAAATCTTTGGCTAATGACATTTTAGAGCCATCTTTTTAAGTCCAATAAATCACCTTGTTAGTCCAGGCTGAAATCCTGGTCCCAAAAAGAAACATCCAGACTGGGAAACACCTCAAGCTTCGATCATCTCTCCATAAAAGCTACATCTCAATGAGTAGAGCACTACGGGTGGAATAATAATATGCTCTCGTAGAGTTGCGGTCTATTTCATCAAGTTATCCGAGAGATAAATCATAAATGATTCCGATCCGGTGGTGTTAGCCCACTGGATGGTTAGGTTAATCACTTATCCTCGTCTAACTCGCCGTGACAAGCGATCCGTGCCTGATCCAACCTCACCAAAAGTTTTGCGGATAACACGTGCTTCTCACTTATCTATCTTTCCTACCTTTTCTTTTTTTTTTTCTTTTTTTTGACATTTTTCTCATCTAGAAGATATTATTAATTAATTATAAAAAAGTAAGAACAAAAACCGTGTAAAACAGTGGCGGATTTGATTTCCCATATTTTTTATATTATGTTGCCCCTAGCAATAGAGGCAAGGTGATGGGCAGTTGGCCCTCGATCTCCACGTGTTCCTAATACCCAAAACTAACCGCTACAGCCTTTCTCCACGTGTAATCATGCCTCCTTCCTCAATCATGTTTGCTTTTTCGGAAAAGTACGGATACATACGATGCAAAATTCTGAATTCCAGCCTCCTTTACTACTAACCCTTTTCCCTCCTATAAACCAAATACTACCGGTGATTTAGCATCAATTCACGGTCAAGATGCATTCCTCTTATATTTAACTATAAAATTCTGATCTGAACTGATTAGTCATTCTCCCCTTTTTTTTTCCAATTTTGACTTTACATTCTACAATTCTACAATCCTTAATCCGGAGCTGCCTTCCTTTTTTAAGACTCTTCTTAACTTTGAAAGATTTACTTACCACCATATAACAACAAATCCCTGTTTTCAAAAATCAATATAAAAATCCTTGCTCAAATTACCATTTTCTCCCCACAACGGCACAACCGTAACGTCTCCCTCTCCCATCTTCCCAGGAGGCAATTTGAAGGGGCTCCCCGCTCCCGGCTCGAATCACTTTTCCTTTAAAAAGGAGCCTTAGTCGAGTCGAGCGTAGCTAAAGCTTGGCTGAGCTGGAGAAAAGAGGAAATGACAAAAGAAAAGCAAAGCCGTGATTGACTAGGTCGGTGGGACCGGATCCGGGATCGGACTTCAAGCTTGAATTCAATAGAGTTAATTAATCAATGGAGAGAGAGAAAGAGAGTGACGGGAAGGGAAGGGACACGAAAAAAGATAATAGTGGAGGAAAAAATCTAAAAGGCGAGGCGTCCGTGATGGCCGAATCATCCGAACAACAGGCGCCTGTATACCATTATTATAATCCATCAATGCTTTCAACCCTATAAAACCCTCCACCTCCTCTGCTCCCCACACGCATCACTTTTTCATTTTCTCTCTCTACACTCTACAATCTCAAACCAACCCAAGTACCCCAACCCCCTTTGCGTCCTCTCTCTTAGCTACTTTTATTTCTCTACTTTGCTTTTCTCTCTCTACCCCGCTCCCTCCCTCCTCAACGATATATCTCTCTCCCTTCGCGGTTCGCGCTCTCTATCTCTCTCTCCCTTCGCGGTTCGCGCTCTCTATCTCTCTCCCACGCCTTACGACATATCTCCTATCCTCCCAGAGTTTTCAACTCTCTTCTGAAGCTAAAGTTCCCGTTATTCTCTACTGCCATGGAACACAGCAAGACCACCACTGCCCCAACTGTCACCAACAAGAGGGTCCGAGATGACTCGGATAACTTGGAATCGGACTCGCCCGAGGCGAAGAGAATCCGAGATAACCTCCTTGATATCCTCAACGACACTGATACCGTTGTTGACCGGAACCCCGCAAACCAAGACCTGGCATCCGTCATGAAGAGTTTCGAAGAAGAAATATCTCTCCCCACCTCCCTGCCTTCGGAGACGGAGACGGATATAACTCCTCAGTCGGACTCCGGCGAGTCACAGCCCGATCTTGGTTATCTTCTGGGAGCCTCGGATGATGAGCTTGGTCTGCCGCCAACTTTCTCACCGTCCTCTGGTGAGGAAAAAAGTGAAGAGGATATATTACGTGTTTCGTCTGATGCCGTTGGATATGATAAGTTTTGGGGGTTCGAGGATGAGATCCCGGTCTATGACTCGTTGTGTTTTGGGATCAACGACGAGAATAGCAACAACGACAGTAACAACAACAACAACAGCACCGGCGAGTTTGTAGCCTTGGGGGGGTTGTTTGACTACCCAGATGTGTTTTCTGGGTCATCCGATTATTCGGATTTTTCGTGGCGCCCCGAGTCCTTGCCGGCGCTGTAAACCGTACAGATGCCGTCGACATGCCGGGCTTTTAAACCGGCGCCGGTTGTAGGGCCTACTGTTTATAACAGTTACGTGTAAATTTAAGAAAAAATTTGGAAAAACTTCAGTCAAAATCAGAAGTCCTTGAAGCTTTAAATGGTGAGACATTCGTTGGTTCTTTGTATCAGATCATATCCTATTATTGCATCCTCTCTCTCCCTTAAAGTCCTAAACTATCAGAACAGACAGAAATCCGAAGGTATCAGTACCGCTGCTAAATTTGTGCAATTTTACCGCTTTTGACTGTGGGACCCGCGCATTCAAATAGGGGCACATTGAGGGGTAGTTTGGTCAATTAAATTTAAAAATTTATAACTTTCTATCTCTATCTGTCCCCGTGGATCTCGGTTCAACTTTCAAGGCGGAAGCCAGAATCAGCTACAGAGATGTGTTTTGCCGATGCGTCCCACTTCCAACTTTACAACAAGAGCCGTACACAAGAACGGAAATGTTCTCTGAAATCAAATGAGCGGTGCGACTGTCGGTGTTTCCGGCCTTTCTCCGGAGTCCGACGAGCGCTCTCTCGGCTCAGATTGCATTCGAAAACAAATAAATGAATTCTTCCCTCTCATGAGACATGAATCGATCAATGGACACGCTCACGCTTATTTGAATCGAAACCGGATTTACTCTTCATAAAACCGTACTCCAGCCACAGCCTTTTAGCACCGGCTACAAGAGGATGGATCATGGATGTGAGAGGACGGTTTTGTGGATACTGAATCCGAAATCCATTGGATCACTACTGTTCTCGCAAGCATATTAAGTCAAATGATGTGGTCGGGGCTGGGCCCGATTTTGTAACCGGTTGGATCATGGATGATTCTGGGTCAAAGATTAGATGTTCTGGTGGTTGGTTTGCAACGAACCAGTCCAGTTCCACATCACTCATGACTCATCGTGCAGCTCTCCCCATTATTAGTGCAACGCATATGCCGTATCTACCAATCTACTTGCCATAGACATTGTTTTCATTTGTTATCTATTTTTTATCCGAAAATTTTGGGGGTAGAGTGTTGAAATCTGGAATTTTAGGGATTCTGTATTACGCAACAGGGTGGTAATCTGTACTTTTTAAGCGTATATGTCAACGCTGAATTCTTCTGTGGGCCGTGGCTGTTTTTCTGATTGATTTTCTTAATCAGAACTTTTTATATTATAATATTAAAAATAAGCACTCTGTGGGTTGGGTACCAAGGAAGAGGAATTATGAAAACAATAACTAGAACACAACTAAGCTCCCAAGTCCCAACTTAACCACAGTCCACCGAATCCTGTACGGGTTGAGACCGCTGGGTCGGATATGTATGGGGGGAATAACTTGTACATGCAGATGTCCCATTGAATTGTCCGCACGGTCAGCCTTCGGTCTGGTACTGCTAATAGGCAGCATTCCAAGCTGGTTGCGGTTTCAACTTGCTCAGTCTAAACTTGGAGTTAAGGGTGTCAATGGATCGGTTTTGGATTGGACCCCGTTCAATTCCAAATCAATTTGGACTTATTGGATGGACCATTCGAGTTCAAAATATTTATTAGATTGGATTGGACCTGGTCCGTCCGTAATATAGGAGTTGGATTGTGATGATGTGTGATTCAGTCTGTCCTAGCTGCCGGTTATCTCGCTTCTGACGAGATCGAAGGTGTCTGAAACAAGGAAGAAAATGGAGGTTTCCGGGGAGGAACCCGGTTGGAACACTCCGAACCTCAAACTAGTATTCTTCATAAGGCAAGGGAAATGAGGAATTCTAAGACCAGAAAACGCAAGAATCACATACCCTCTTCTTTGTGAGATGGGGGCCTTTTATAATCACCCTGTGTGCTCACTTCCATGCCTCTGCTAGTTCAGGCATCATTACCTCTACCAGATCGGGTCACTTCCTTCTGTCAACTGCCAGTTCGGGTGTCATAACCTCCACTGCCAGTTGCCAGGGCCGCCTCTGTCCGTCTGGGATGGCGGTGGCAAGTGGCCGTTGGATGGCGGTTGTCATGTGTCAGTCCTCTGATCGGTCAGGTGCACCGCCTCCGTGTACGGTCTCCTAGGCGTCAGGTACGGTTGCTCAGCCAGGCGATTTGGAGCCGAAGTGGTCTTTTAATGTGAAGTCTCGAGTTCGGATAGGAGTATGGCCTGAACTGCCCCTAGGTGGGTAGTTCAGGTTTTCTGCCTTTGGTGCTCCTTGCAAGGCACAAGACCTCGAAGGGAGAGCTTGGGACTCTTTAGTTCGGAGCTCGGTTTGTAGGTTCCTTCGAGGGAGCTCGGCTCTCTTTAGTTCGGAGCTCGGGTTGCAGGTTCCTTCGAGGGAGCTTGGCTTTTTAGTTCGGAGCTCGGGTTGCAGGTTCCTTTGATGAAGCTCGACTCTTTAGTTCGGAGCTCGGGTTGTGGGCCTGTTGCCGTGCCGAGCTGGCGTTTCTGCCAGGTCACTCTCGGTTGCTTCCACGTGTCGCATGGCCGAGGGGTCGGGTCAAATCTTCCTCCATCAATTGCCCCCCACTCCCCGTGCTCGAGGTCTTGACCCGACATGGGGAGTTCACGGGATGACAGGTGGATTTGCCTTGGGACACTTTGGCCTTGATCAGGAACTTTTCTAGTCCGGTCTGCTTGTTTTCTCGGCTCAACTAGGGTTGGCTTGGCTCGACCAGGGGTCAGTCCTGGGCTGCGTGTGGCTCACGCGCACCAACGATTTTCAAATTTTTAAAATTTTGAACGGGCACGCCAAACAATTCCGAATTTTTGAACGTGCGCTTCAAAGTGTCTTTTCGTCAGGGAGTGCGCAGCTGACTTTGCGGGGAGCCGTTGGATGGTTTCAATCTTGGCCGTTGATGCACGGGTACAGTGGCTTTAAATAGTGAGGGGACCTCTAGTCACTTTCCTCTGTTATCCTTCAGCGTTTGTTCCTTGAGCTCGCGTCCAAGCCGGCCAGCTCGCGTCACTCGTCTGTAGTTTCGGTAGCTTTTCCTGGTGAGTCCTCAGCCTTCTTTGTTTTCGATGTCTAGTTTTAGTAGCACGGATAGCCCTCTAGGGGGGTCAGACGCTAGTTCTACGAATCGAGCTACTGCCCCCGATGGCCTTAGTGAATCCGAGGCAGGGCCCGAGGTAGAGCTCGAGGAAGAGCTCGAGTTTGAGCCCGCAAGCCGAGTCATCTCGGGTAGTTTGGCATCCACCTCTCGTCAAGGTCGGGTGCCAGACAAGTTCGGACCCTCTACTATGACGCCCGAAAATCTTTGGTCCCTTATCATCTAGTACAACCTGCCCGGGGAGTATACTTACTACCCTCGGGCGACTTTCCTTGGGAGCACGGTCCAGATGAGATCATGATATTCCGGGAGCAGCTTGTTGTCGGGTTGCGCCTTCCCTTCCATCCCCTAATCGTCGAGGTTATGAACCACTTCGGCGTCACTATAGGTCAACTTCACCCGAACTCTATCTGCAACCTTGTCGGGACCATCTCCCTTGGCTGTGAGCACTTCCTTCCTTTGGACTTAGAAATTTTTTCCGCTATTCTCATGCTTAAGAAACAAGCGGGTCCCCTGCCCGGGCGTAGGAGGGCGTACTACTTGTCACCTTGCCCGAGCTTCAAGCTCTTACACGATCTCCCAAACAAGGTCCCGGCGTGGAAGCGGGACTACTTCGTGGTTCAGAGTGCTACGGGGTGGCCGTTTCCTACTGAGTGGGGTTTGGCCGCTCCTGACCCCAGTGTTGTTTTAGATGAAGATACAGTGAAGGGCCTCCGGAACTGGGCCCGGCTTCGACTAAAATGCTAAGCCTATCTGACGGAGGATAAACTCATTCAGGCCGGTCTGAGTTCGGGTAGGTTTCTTGCTCAGATAAAGATACTTTTGTTTCTGCTTTTATTCCCGTCTTCTGATGCAGAGCTCCTTTTTGCAGGTGTTATGGACGCAGACAAGACTCGATGTGCGAACTTGTTTGCTGGCATGAAGCGGAAGAAGCGAGCTTTTAAGCGAGTTCGCGCCGATCCTTCCCAGGTGGCGGAGCCCGAGGTACTAAGGACGGAGCCTCCTGAGGAGCCCGAGGTGCCCCCTTCAGTTCAGGAGGCGGTAGGGGCTCCCTATGCCCGGGCTGCGCCTTCGGGCTCGAGGAGCCACAGTGGGATTGGGAGCGTGCTGACGCCGGGCTACGCTCTCCGAAAAAGCAAGGCCGCCACTTGTCCTGAGGAGGTCGCGCAGTGGGCCGATCTCCCTACCAATC